TGCTGGTGGTAATACTTTCCTTGTAAAGGTGACGCGTACAGTTTTTTTTTTTATGTTCAGAGTCATTCGCCATGACTGGCACCATGATTCAATGTTGTCCAAGTCTTCTTGCAAAAGCAGGTTATCATACGCGTCATTGATCTCTCTATATACCACACAATCAAGTGCAGACATTCTAATGGTAGAAGAAACATCAACAGCAATATCATTTATATTATTAAGAAACAAAAGTGGTCCCAAAGCGGAGTCTTGCGGCACACCTGAAGTGACGTTAACCATATGAGATTGGAAGCCATTTAAAGCCGAACGACAAATACTCACGAACACACTTACAAACTTTGCCATCAATTTTATAGGCGTGGAGCTTAGAAATTAAAAGATATCGAGGAACGACACACAAAAAAAAAAAAAAAACCTCACTGAAATCAAGACATATACAATCAACACACCGTCGCTTGTCGATTGTCATAGAAAGGTAATTAAAAAATTCAACTAGTTGTGCTTTACAAGAATATACCCGACGGAATCCTTGGTGCGAGGGATGCAAAAAGTTAAACCTGCTGAGATGAGTCATGATGTTACTATACAGAATGTGTTCCATTATCTTGCAAAAAATGCTCGTCAGCGATATCGGTCGATAATTTACGACAATGTTTTTAGGATAACTTTTATGCGCTGGCATTACTCGAGCAATCGGAAGACAAAGAAGATTCGCGTAGCGATTTTTCGAACAATACCATAAAGTAAAGGCACAGTGAACTATAACTAGATTTCAAAATACACGCAGGAATATCGTCTGGACCAGTTAATTTAGGTATGTCTGAGTTACTCAACTGATTTAAAATTCTAGACGCACCAAATTCAACTTCGGGCATCACGTTGCTTGCCGCTGGAACGGTGAAGTGTACCAAACGTGACTGGCAAGATGTAAAAACCGGCCGAAAGTGTGAATTGAAACGCTCCACATTTTCAGTGTCGTTATCCACGACAGTATCGTTGTGTCTGAGCGTCGGAACGAAATAATTGAGTTTACCCTTACTACGGACATATTTCCGAAACTCTTTCGAGGAACGCCGAATGCTAGTTTCTAAATTGAGAGGGAACGTACCCTTCTTATGCTCCAACTTGTCTCGAACCATTCTTGCGAATTATTTTACATGAGCGAGATCACTCAGAAGCCGTGTCTCACGGAACTTACAATAGGCCCTTCGTTTTTTTTGTTGAGTAATACACGCAGATCACGTGTGAACAACGGCTTGTCACGTGTTCGCATTAGCGTAAGCGTACGCGATGGGACAAAGTCATTCTGCAAACTATACATTTTTTTCCTCTAGTTTTACCCATAGGTCATTGGCGCAAAAGTACTCGGACAAAGTAAAAAAAAAAAAAAAAAAGAAATGAAAGGCAAAAATTTAACCGCAGAGTTCATTTTCGAAAGTAAACATTTTCTACAGAAATCTGTCTGGTTTGGGGAAACAATACGAAACAAATAAATCTCAAACCAAGGGCACAGAAACAATCAGTTTCAAACGTTTTGGGGTCGACTTGACTCCTCCTTCAGGGGGTGACTAAATGGAATGGGACAGCGAAATCTTCGACCTTTTCTTCCTCTTCTGCTGAGGCCCTGGAAGAAAATAGATGGTAAAGGGGTATTCACACGAGGGAGATATCCGGGGGATTTCTCCCCGGTACGCGCATCCCTACGACGAAAACGTCAGGTTTTGCGATGTGCAAAAGCCTCGCGTTTTCATCTCGTGATGCTCGCGTGCCGGAGAGAAATCCCCGGGATTTCTCCCTCGTGTGAACACCCCTTAAGGCACCGAGAGACTTGTTCATGTTCCCCGCTATGTTCTGAATATGCCACGACTCTCGGAACAGAAGTTTTCGGATATGTGGCTCCGTGTCTATCACGTATGCGTTCGCGAAGTCGATGCGATGATCGAGTGCCTCACAATGTTTGACGACGAGCGATGTGCGCAATTTCGATCGCGAACGTAGCACCGTCGCCGATTATTGTGAGGTGCTCGATCATCGGATCGACTTCGCGAACGCGCACGTGATAGACACGGAGCCACATATCCGAAAACGTCTGTTCTTGGAGTCGTGGCATATTCAGAACACACTGGGGAGCATTAACAGGTTCCTCGGTGCCGTACCATTTATTTTCGTTCAAGGTCTGCATCACTTTAACAAAACATCAACTTAATAGAAGAGGAAGAGGAGGTCGAAGCTCTCGCTGTCCCATTCCAATTAGTCACCTCCCGCAGAAGGAGTCAATTCGACCCCAAAACGTTGGGAACTGATTGTTTCTGAGCTTTTGGTTGGCGATTTTTCTGTTTTGTAGAGTTCACTTTTGCATAGACTGCTCGATCATAAAAAGAAAAACGTTATTTGTTCACGTGGATTTCTCTTGCTTACACAATTTAAGTTGACCTCAAACACAATAGCTTTATGGTCAATAATCCCCTGGGACAGTATTCGTGTTCTCAGTAATCCCAGAAGTGTTACCAAGTAAAAGATTCAAAATATGACCCGTGTCATTATGGCGCATAGTCACAGTTACACACTGTTCAAGCGAAAAAATGTCCAATAAGCTGAAGAAAAAAAACTCGCTATACAGTTCACCAGCAGTGGCACCCCTGAAGTTATGATTTTTGCTTGCAATGACCGGAATATTGGAATCGCCACCAATAATGTGATCACATGCAATCATTTCTAAGGTACTGAAAATAAGTTTATTTATTTATTTATTTAAATAAATAATAGGCGTTCAGCTTGGTGGCCTATAAAAAGAACCAATGGCTAAGCATTTCCCGTCAGTTTGCCTAATCTGAAAAAACACAGTTTCGGCATTTTTTAGTGTTTATTTATTTAGAAATACTACCAGTTTCCATCGGAAACTTTAGGAGGATGGTTGCAAGGTAAAATAAAATTTACATAGTTTATAGTGCAATGTTGAAAGAAAAAAGAAAAAAAAAAGACAGTGAGGAGGATGGGGCTACTTAGTTAAGACACAGGAGAATCTTAGTACTATGTATTACACTTGTGAATGGAAAAATAACATTAGACCACTAGAATAGGATTAATCGATGTCAACAAGTAGAATACCGGAATCTCGATAAAAGAAAAACCTTTAATCAGCTAGAACAAACATGACCCCGCTAAGGGAGCAGCGGACATTTATCAAACCTGCTCAAGAATTTCAAATATTTGTCAAATAATGCTTGACAGAAGACGAGCTAGCAACGTTGTACGTGAAAAAAAAAATAACGCAGCCGTATGCCGCGTGTGTGGTTTACAACATTAAACTGTCCTGCGGGAAAGTGTACATAGGACAAACTGGCAGATGTGTAAATCAAAAGTTAAGAGAACATACATTATCGATTAAATCATCGCCATCACTCTACTTAGTAGTTTGCTGTTACAAGTGATATTAAAATTGTTGCTTCATCTATACTCTGTTTCACCTTGTGTTGTACCGCAGCGAAGGCTACAAACGCGAGCTCCTTGCTCTTGGGCACACCTCGGCGGCCGAAGCTCTCGTGCACCAAGGGCAGCTGCTAACGTTATGAGCTCGCGCTTCTAGCCTTCGCTACGGTACAAGAGAAGGTGAAACTAGGGTGCCTTCATGTGCGCTTTGCTTAGGGTGGAGACATCTGGGCCCGTTTGCTCGAAGCCGGTTAACTCTAACCGCGGTTAAAAGTTAACCGCCCTTCCCTACTAGGTACCTACAAGTACCTAGCCAAGGTTCACGAGGGCTGGATGAGCGATAGCTCCGTGTTTTATTATGGGGCGGTGGCTGGTGTCACCTACTGGCTGTAGCGAATATAAGTGGCTTCCGTGGAAAGGTTCCCGAAATGGGGGGACCCAAAAAATGCGCGCTGCCTGGTTTTCGCGACGCAGCGTGGCATACATTTGAGCTTAAGAAACAATTTTTATTGCTCGTGGTACAAATAATCGGCGAGGTAAAACTAAATTAACCCTTGTTTGGAAATTTTCTAAATATTTGGCTGTATGAAGTAAAGAAAAGCCTCGTTGAAATTTCCTTCCGACTTCGAAAGAGGACGACGAAGTTGAGTCCTAAAAACGATGAGAAAGAAGTGAGCAGTGAAAGGCGGGCGGTACACCGGCAGCATGGTTGGCCAGCATGTAAGAACTCATAAATTGAAAAACCTGTAACTCGGCTCCACTGAAAATTGACCTATTAAATTACCCGAACATCGAGAAGAACGCTGGAAGTGTAATTCTACGATCCGCGCGCGCTGGCCTTCCACTTATAAAAGATTTGAAGTAAATAATCATAATAAATCTTTGACGAACGCCCGTGCACGGCAAAATTTGTTTTAGGCTTTTTGCTTCAGAACAGTTATTACTGCAGACGCCAGCAGGTGCAGCGCGTGTAACTACGCTCGTAGCATGCACCTCGGTGATTTTGAAATTTAGCAAGAGGTCTACGGGAACGCTCTATGCTTCTGCGTGCTATCAATACCCGGCCGATTGAGTCAAGGCAATCCACTTTCCAAAGACGTTGCCATGCCGACAACTATCGCGTTCATTTAGGCTTAGGAATGGTCAGAGTCGAAAGTCTATCTAAAAAATGCGGCGAGGTCATTGCTCATGTTTTGCGTTTTAAGTGAGGTAATGCAGCGCGAAAACCTCCTGCACCATTCATTGCTGACCAACGCGCCCGCTGCTGCAGCTACTACGACGTATTAGTTCCAAAGCGAGCGGAGCTCACTCACCGGGGCACCGCCATGTTTCCCCGCCGTCCTTACTCTGCCGGTCACGTGACTCAAAATTCCCCGGCGTAGGGAAATCCGGTTAACCGCGGTTAGTTAACCAGCTTCGAGCAAACGGTAGGTAGAAAACGTTTATTGGAAACCAAGAACTACGAATAGAAAGATTATCCGCGCCGCGGTGATCCTCGGATCTGGCAGCCTCGTTCTTGCGTGATTATGGGTGATGAGGGATGACTGTGCGATGGATCATGAGGGGTGTTTTCATATGGAGTCCCCAAGATCTGACTTGGCTACGAAGTCCAGAAGCGACTGGAGGATCCTCGTCCGGCGTTGGGCTTCGCCCTGTGGGTGCGTCCAATCCACGAGTCTCTTGGGTCTTTCTTCCTCGGGTAGCGTCTCGATGGCTTCCACTCTGCACAAGGCTAGAGCTTGGCATTCCCATAGGAGATGGTCGAGCCTGGGAATGGCTTCTGGATCCTTGCATCTCTGACATCGCGGGTCCGGAGGGACCGCGTACGGCTGCGTCCGTCGCAATTGCGAGAGGTTGATGTGGTACTTGAGCCTTGGCGTGACCGCGCCTTCGGTACGGATGCGCCGAAGTTGAACCGTTTCCTTTCGCTTGAAGGTTTTCGCCGGAAGCGGGTAGTCCTCGGGTTGCCACTTTTCCGCTAGCTGAATCTTTCGCATCTTGCGACATCTACGCAGCTCTTCGACGGGGTCGTAGCATGTCGTATTTTCTGGCTGTTCGACTGACTCTTCGCAGTTGGACGCCTGTTGGGATGGCAACTGAAGAATTCTTCTCATCCCGCACTGTGCCGCTGCGTGAGCCATGTCGTTTCCTGAGATCTCCTGGTGTCCCGGGACCCATCGTACACTGATTCTTGTGCCGTGCTCCCGGTATAGGCTGAGCGCCGTGTCGAAGAAGGCGTGTACCGTCGGGCTTGCAGTTGCTTTGAGCTTGTACATGTTTCGTACCGCCTCCTGGGAGTCCGTATAGATAATGAGGTTTCTCGTCTTGCCGGGGAGGTTCCCGTATACTCCCAACGTGAACAGAAGAGCCGCTTCTTCTACTGTGTCTGATGTGACCTCCGTGCCCAGTCCGCAGCTAGTGGCAATTTCAAAGGGAGTTGCCCCCTCGCCTCTGTAGAAGACTGCTCCTGCGGCATACTCCTTCCCTTTTGTTGCTCCATCGACGTACACCACTGTGTTGTGCTGGCTTGCCAACAGCTCCTTGACCTCCTTCTTGTGCTGTTGGGCGTACCTTTTCCTGCGGGCTTTGTGTCGCTCCGGGTCCATATTTCTTGGAAGGGGTTTCGCACCTTGCGTGACGCTAATCACATCCCACGGTGCCTTGCTTGGGGGGAGGGGGTCTAGGGTCTCCGGGAGCTTGATGCCTATGTAGCTTGCCACTGCTCGGCCTTCCTCTGTGTGATGCACACGCGCCGTGTGCGTCACTGTCTGCTGCACCAGTAGGTCCTCAATTTCTGGCAAAAGGATGAGTTGCCTCATCCTCTCCGTTTTTGTACTTCTTGGTAGCCCCAAGATGGCTCTTCGTGCGTCATTGAGCATAGTTCGGAAGTGGTTCTTGTGACACGACCGTAATGAATAAAATCGCGCCGCATATGTGATTTTCGAGACCAGTGTGGCCATTACTAACTTCCTTGCCGTTGCTTCTCCGGCTCCTCCAAGTCGATGGGAGATTCTTCTGACCAGGTTGAGGCCTTGCTTCCACTTCTTTCTCATCTCGGCCATCCACTTGTCAGTGATGCTGGGTGAGTTTCCGAAGGTGACCCCTAAAAGCTTGATGCTCTCTTCTCGAACGATTGGGTCCCCGGCGAAGGTGAGCTGCAGGTTTCTTTGGACGTTACCGGCCCCGAACACGGTGTATTTAGTCTTTTCTGGGGATGGTCTCATCCCTACTTCTTTCAAAAAGTCGCCGATGGTATTTAGTCCTTCTTGCAGTGCTGCCTCCTGTTGCTCTGGCGTACCTTCATGCGTCCATATAGTGACGTCGTCTGCATACGCCGTCGCTTTCAGTTTCTCGATCTTGTAGAGCCGCCAGAGCAGTGGTGCCATAACTATGTTAAATAGCGTTGGCAAGAGAACTGCTCCTTGCGGCACGCCGATGTTGTTTTCGATAGTCGGGCCTTCTCGCGCTTCCTTTCCGTAACCTGCCTTTATTCTGTACTTGCGGTTCGCAAGGAAAGACTTCACAAAATCCAATTGTTTGCCAGTGAGCCCCTGCTCTTCCATCTTGCTGACGACAGATTCGTGGGGGACGCTGTCAAACGCTTTCTTGATGTCAATTGATACGATTACTCTCAGACTTCCATCGCTTCGCGGCCGATCGATAACATCGTTGTAGATCATAAGCAGGCTGTCGTGGGTACTTAGGTTAGCCCGAAACCCAGTCTGCGTGGGGTGGAGTATTCCTTTGTGGCGTATGTTGTGCTGAATTCTGGCCAGGACCATTCTCTCCATGAGCTTTCCCATGATAGAGGTGAGGGAGATCGGCCGTACGTTCGCCGGATCTGTCGCGGGTTTCCCAGCTTTCGGAATCGGCGTCACCACGGATATCCTCCATTCTTCTGGGAAATCGCCAGTGTCCCAGATTTGGTTGAACCATTGCAACATTGCTCGCCTGGCTGACTCCGGAGCGTTCTTAAGCATGGGGGCGGTGATCCCATCAGGTCCAGGTGTACTCTTTGATCGGCATTGCTTGATTGCTGCATCCATCTCCCATTCCGTGAAAGGCTGATCTTCGGATTGCCTGGACGGTCCGGTATGCTTCCTGCAGTAGGTGCTCGGGTCGGGCTTTTTGGTTGGTTGGGGGAAAAACACTTCCCCGAGCTGCTTGAGGATGTCCTCAATCTTCTCGTTTGACATTAGGGCTATCACGGGAACGGGACTGACTCCCTTCTTTTTACCGTACATAGAGTTGAAAGTCCGCCATACGTCTCCCATGTTTGTGAGTCTATCAAAGGTCTCACAATATTCTATCCATCTGTCGAAGCCAAGCTGGCTTGCGTACTGGCTTGCCTTTTTGGTGAGCTTGTTCACTTTTATGAGATGCTTTCTCAGCTTCTTCTTTCTGTAGGTTGTGAGTGCTGCCGTTCTTCTGTCCCATAATGAGAGAAGATGCGTATCTGGCGTTGGAGTGCCCTCGTCCACTTGGCGCTCGTCAACGGCTATCCTGGCCGCTGTCGTCAGGAGGGTTGCGACGTGTTGGAACTCAAAGTCTTCTCCCTGGTCTTCGATGCTCTTCCGAAAGTCATCCCAGATGATCGTTTTGGTCTGTTTTTTGCCTGGGCTGCTCTTGGCTCCGATTTCCAGCTCCATGACAATGGGGAAATGGTCGCTTCCCCAGGCGTCGTCTAATATGGACCACTGTAAGTTCCGTGCGGTGCTTGCAGGCGCTATCGTGACGTCGATGATGGAGTCTCTGTGCCCAGCTCCCGTTGCATACCTCGTTGCTCTGCTGAAGTCGTTTATTAGGGCCATATCCGCCTGCTCTGTGATGTCGCGCAGGTCTGCGGCCCCCCTTGCCGTGTCGCCTATCGCCCAGTGTTCTACGTGTGTATTGAGATCGCCTCCCAGGACCATGAAGTCATCAGAATATTCTTTGCGTAGGTGCCTGATCCAAGAAAAGTCCTTTGTAGTGTGCGGCCTGTTGTACGCCGAGGCCACCGTGAGCCTCTTGCTCGTGGATTGCAGCGCTACGCGTAGCGCCACAACTTCTTGGAGTTCCGTACACCACTGGGATGTGTCGATGGTGATGTGTGGTAGCTTCGCCTGCACAAAAACAGCCGCTTGTGCCTGGATTTTCTTTTCCTTCCTGTAGGTGTGCGTGATAGATGGCATGTAATATTGTTTGAATCCTGGTAATGTGATCTGATCCGACTTCGTTTCTTGCAATAAAAGAATGTCAAAAGTTTCATTCTTGAGTCGTTGGACGAGCTCTGCCCTTCTGCTTGCGAGACCGCGACAATTCCATTGTAGGATTCTTAGCGCTTCCTTGCTTGCATCATTGTTGGCTATCTTGTGGCGTAGGGCAGCTGGTCGGTAGAGCCTGCTGGGACGTCAGCATCTGTTGCATTTGTAACATTTGCTGTTGTATCTGTTGCATCTGGGTCTGCATCTGTGCTTGTATCTGGGCTTGCATTCGCTGTAATGCCACTTGCCATCCCGTAGGTTGCTGCGGTGTTAAGCTGCTTGCAGTCGCCGTCCCTTCGGTCCTCTCCTTGCGAATTGGATCTCTTCCCCGAGAAGCTGGGCTGTCTGCCTGCTGCTCACGCTGTTTTCTTTGCTGCTCTTGTTGTGTCTTCCTGGCTTCTATTGCTGTCTTGATGTGACCTAAAATGGTGCTTTTTCGTGCCTCGCGACGCCTGCTTTCTTCCTCGATCTTCTGTCGAAGTTGCAGTAGTTCAGTCTCGAGGCGCCTGCATTTGTCGGCGTCCGCTTGATTTCTTGCTTCGATGGCTCGGAGCTCTGTTTGCCATGCCTTGACCTCGTCGTCATCATCGGCGTAGTAGCCTTTCGGTTTCTTCGCGGCTTCGGCATAGCTTTTGTCATTGTTGCGAACCCGTCGAGCTGACGGTGACCTTCCGCGCAACGTGATGGTTGGCTTTTCGTTACGTGACGCACTTCGCGACGCCTTCCTGCCATTCCTGGTGCTACCAGCTGCGGCGCTCCTGCTTCTACTCTTGCGCGCTGGTGAATTTCTCTTGAGTGCACTACTTCTTGCTTCTAGCGGTGGAAATTCGTCTATGGTCACGTGGGGCGGTTCTACCTCCGTCCTCTGCCCCGTCGCCGTGGCTGCTTGCCTACTTGACGGCCCGCCCTTTCTGGTCTTCTGCTGCAGCATCTTGTCTGCCCGAATTTTCGCCGGGCATTTGTTGTCCGTCGCTAGATGCGTGAGCGATCGGCAGTTTACGCAGTACTTGCGCTGGCAAACATGGCCGTCTTGAATAATGCAGCCGCACTCGGTGCACCTTGGTTTCCTAGTGCACACCATTTCCTTGTGGCCCAGGCCTTGACACCGACGACAAACCACTGTAGTGGGCTTGTACAGAGTCACCTTGGTGATGAAGCCATGGTACAGTATCGTCCTCGGTGGACGTTTTCCCTGGAATGTGACCAGTGCCAGCCCTCTGCTGCCCAGTGGCCTGGCGTAGAGAATTTCTTGTGTCCTGCAGTGGAGTGCCTCGTGCAGTTCGCCCGCAGTCTCCTTCGGGTCTACTCCGTGTGCCACCCCTCTACATGTGTCCTCCGGGGGTATTTCGTGGGCGATCACTGTCACTGCCTTGTCTGGCGTTTTGATGCTTCTAATCTTCAGCAAGGTTTGTGCCTGCAGGCGGTCCCGAACTATGGCCGAAATTGTATTGGTGACTTTTGACGTCCTGAATGTCGGCAGTTCTTCCCTTGTGCACTGTGCCTGCTTGATGTTTAGTGCGGTGTAGAAGTTTCTTTGAAGTGTGCTAGTAGGAATACTCGTGAGGTCGTATCGTTCTTGGGCCCTGAAGACGACCACATAGCGTTCCTCTTGATTCGTTAGCTTCTTCGCGCTTGTCGTAGCAAGCGTGTCGACGTCCATCGTTTCTTGCCTTGCCTTGCGCTTTCGGTAATACACTTCTTGCCATGGCTCACCTTCGTAATCAGGACCTTCATAGGTCTTGAATTCCCCTCTTGAACCGCCCTCTGTCTCGTTGACTTCCATGGAGTTCTCGGTGCTGTCCTCCGGTACTTCCGACGTTATGGTGTCGATACTCTCGGCACTCGGTCTTCGAATTCGTTTGTGAAGCCCCTCCCCCGCTTCACTAATCGCGACCCGCCGTCGAGCAGACTTAACGTACGTGGGCCTCGTACCATTTAGCCTGGCTTGAAGGTGGCTTTCGCTCGTAGCTCGGGGATCTTCGCTTCCAGAAGCTTCGATGGACCCCCATTGGGATCCGTTGCTTGCTGGCGTAGGGCCTCCGTCTTTTCCGCAGCTGACACCAGCTGCAATGTCGAGTCCGTCCAGCTCTGTCGACGCCAGACTTGTCTGGCTCTAGGCCTAACAGACCCCGACTTCTCGATCCGTCCGAAAAGACTTGTCCAGGTTCAGGCGGCGGAAACTAACTTCGTCCGTTAGTGCCAACGTACTAATCGCCTTCGCAGTAATCGCCTTTCTGTTCTAGCCTTTGCAGCCTGCGCAAATCGCGGATAAGTAGCAGCTCGACAAATTCGATCGTCCTGCCTGGAGCGTCGTCGTCGGCGGTTCCCTTCGAGCAAACGGGCCCTGGCCATTTTGTCTCACACTTTTATTTTTATTTTTTGTTCAGAAGCGCATGAAAGAACGTGTCCCTGCACGCGCTCGTGGCGCTGACTGTGCTACGGCGACATTTTGTTTTCGTCGATTTTTTTTTGTATTTTACCCGTGAGCGCGTGCTGTCGGCCTCGGGTACTACAAAGGGTGGCATCACCCTAAACAGAAGGACATTGAGGCACCCTAGGTGAAACGGAGTGTAGGGTACACTTAGGGGTTTCCCCAGGAATTGAAATTAGGGGGGTGTCTAAATTCTTAGGGGGGTGGGGGGGGGCACTGAGAATAGAGAAGTCGTTGCGAATTAGGGAAGTGCCCTGAGAAAAACAAGGGAGGTGTTCACCCCTCCCCCTCCCCGTCTAAGGTGTTAGAGAGATCACTGAGCATACTAGATAATACGACAATTTTAGGACGTCACGGTCAACAAAGAACTGGGGAAATTTTAGAGGATTATTTTTATTTTGAAGCAGAAAGACCGCTGTGTCAGTGCGGTGTCGATTGCGTTGTTTGACAAAGAGTTGGCATTCCTGAGCAGGTTTGACATGTTTCGGGACCGATGACTTGGTGTATTTTATGGTTCACGTTTCACGTCGATTTGTTTTTCTTCCAAATAAATCAGTTGAGAGTTAGCGCTTCGTGTGTGTACTTCGTCTTGTCCTTCTTTTTTTCTGGCGCTGTTTATTTTTACCGCTAACACTTATCTAAAGATTTATCGAAAGTCACAAAAAACGGTTTCCTTCGTCTTTCAGAAATGTTTAGAACTGTCCGCTATAGAGGAAGAGGCCTGAGCTTTCTGACATTGCATCTACCAAGGATCCGTGTGTTTCTTTTTCTTTCAGGCGGGATGCATGTCGAGGCCCACCTGGGAAAAACCAAAACAGCGATAACTTTTCCGAACGTCAGTCCTAGTATCAAGAACAACCACGACGAGCAGAGGGTCTCCGGCTAAGGCGAACACCCAAATGGGCTTCGTTCTTCGTGCCTTAATTATCTGTCATCATACTTTGTGAATTTCAAGGCCAGCATCGCTGAACAGTTATAACCCTCTCTGTGATTTTACCCCCGAATTTTCTTAACCAATCTATGCAATCTGACATTTTTTTTTCTTTCGCGAATGTAAAACGAATTGTTTACACGAGCAACTTCCCTTAAGAAGCTGACGATTTTTTTTAGAATGCAAGCTTTAGGGTCGAATAGTTTTGCTCGGATTTTATGTGTTAGCTCTAAACTTTATTTGAGAAACGTAAATATTTCAAAAGCGTGTTTTTGTGTTGCCAGAAAACAGAAGAATAATGTTGCTATGACTTAGCATCAGATCTTTCATGCTTTGTTTCTAGAAATCGAAGCCCGTTAGTTTCAGGGTATTTTGTTGCGATTCAACATGTTCATTTTAGTTTTCGAAGGCGGACAAAATAACAATAATCATGTTCTTATTATCTCCTCTCCATGGTGCAGCAAGAGTCAGTTTTTTTTATTTGTGTAAAAGAGTGACGTGATGCTTCAAGTTCTAGTATGTCCGTTACATTTCTACTATAAACATCGTAGAAATTTTATGGCTCACCCATTTTTCTGATTTATTTTGCATTAGAAGCTGAATGTTCTTCTGATATGATGTTTTTCGAGGCTGCGCGCAAACGTTCTGAAATATCCACTAAATACGAACATTTAGTAGATCGTACGCCAGAGCTTTAGCTTTGCTAGCGGGGGCTCGTGCCATCACTTCGAAGCAGGGATTGAGCACGCGCCCGCTTGGCCCACTTTTCGCAGCGTTCGACTGAAACTATCTAGTGAAGAATGTTAAAATTTTATCGTTCATATTTGTATGTTTTGGTCATGTTTTACCGCAATAGCTTTAATGGGCTTTTCCCACCATGAAAATGGCGTCTGTTGTTGATGTAGTTAAAGGAGTTGTTGTCGTCGTTAATGTTGTAGTTGCCGATCTGGGCCGTCCGTCGTCGATGTAGCCAAATCCTAGAGAAAAAAACAATTGCCCGCCGCCCGCTGGAATTGAAACGGGATTCGCTGCGGGTGAAGCGGGCACATTACCGCTGAGCCACACCGCCACGTTGATAGGGACTTTTAGCAAACCGTTACCGTGTTCCGCGTACTGCCCTACCGGAGCCTTTGAAGCACGCTTGTGATACCGTGACCTCGGGGTGAGGGTTCAAAAACACGCTTCAAAGACCCCGGTAGTGAGGAACGCGGAACAAGGTATAGCCGGTTTGCTGAAAATCCCCAATAACCCGCTCTAAACTTTTTTTTTTGTAGTTTTATTGCTTTCTAATTTATTTTGCTAGCGGGAGCGCGTGCAGTGGGCGCCGGGTACTGCCATAGCCTCCCATATACTGACAAAGCCTGGCAGATCGTTATGAGAAGCGGCCGCGGAAATAGAAAAAGTGGAGCGGCAGACAACGGATGAGAGGAGAGCCTAGAGTGCATTGATACACACGCGCGCTTTCGCTTGAGTGGTGACATTTTAGCCATTTATCCGCCCAATTGCTTTTTTTATGCAGTTTGAAGTGCGCACAATCCGGTGTCTCTCAGCTCGAGCGCGTAGCTT